TCTACGGTTGGCATGGCACAACATAGTAGTTTTGTCGTACAACGTTGCCACATCGCTCAAGTTCATTTGAAAAGCGGATAATATCAATCTCAATCAATCAAATCTTGTTTTGTAGATCTGTTTTATTAAACTATGTACCGTTGCAAACAATTGATTAATTATTCTTTTTCATTTTTGATTTCTTTCTTTTTTTTTTTATTTAACGTTGCTCTATTTATGCTCCATCAGTGTTAATCAGCGACGGAGGCTTGGAATGTGTTTGAGAACAAAGCACATGAAACTTTTTTCAGTGGTCAATCAATGAGCAAGGATTGCGAATCGAACCCGGGCCTACCGGGTGCGAGTCCGTCGCCCTACCGACCGAGCCATTGCAGGCCTCTTTTGATTTCTTATTTAAAACTATATTTATCGATTATATTTATCGTTTTAATTTTCTCACTAAAAATTTACATATTACAAATATATTTTTACTGGATCTAATATAATGACTTTTCCACGTCTTTAGTAATAATAAATTTTATAAATAATTTTTTACTCTAAATTTATTTTTAAGAAAAATAATTCTGTGCTATACCTATTTATACCAAAACCAGTCAAAATGACTGGTGCCAATAACAAACTGGCGTGCGCAAATAAATATAAAAATTTTTATGGTTTTGATGTCAGTTGATACTACGCATCACATAAAAATTATTTAACCATTCGTTTACGAATGCAATGCTTGTGTATAAATTATTATGTTTGATTGCTCCGAGATTATTTTGCTTTTATACATTGTGCATTCAGGTAAGAAAAATAATTGAAATTGTAACGGTCCTACGAGGGGGGGGGGGGTTAATAAGTCTTTACAAAATCCAAGGAGATGGCGTTCGTCACGCTTAAATTATGATGTTTTTGACAAGCAATACTATTAACTAGATATCGTACAATATTTCAGCTCGATTCATTAAGTCGTTTTTTTGTGAGCGTTGGTTGAACAAAAAGTTATTGGTTTATTTGAAAAATGGAAAAAACAGAGTTTCGAGCGGTGACATTTTCATTTGAAAGGCCTTACACCAAAAGAAATCACAGTTGAGTTGAACGCCGTTCATGGCAAGTCTACCCCTGTGTTTAAGACAGTTTATAACTGGGTAAATGAATTTAAACGCAGTCGTACAACATCAAAAGATGAACGTCGTTCAGGACGCCCCGTAGAAGTGAAGACGCCCGAAATGGTCAACAAAATCCACTATATGGTGTTGAGTGATAGAAGATTAAAATTGCGAGAATTAGTTGAGGCCACAGGGGTATTAAAGGGTACAATCATTTCAATTTTACATGAAAAATTAGGGATGAAAAAAATATCAGCAAGATGAGTGCCGCGTTTGCTAACTTTTAAAAATAAACGAACCCGCGTGGTCACCTCTGAGGCTCTTTTGGCAAACATACGTCGTAATCCGAAAGACTTTCGGCGTCGACTCATAACTGTAGACGAAACATTGGTACACCACTACACTCCTGAAACCAAAGACCAGTCCAAACAATGGATTACCGCAGGAGAACCAGCCCCAAAGATGGCAAAGACAGTAAAGTGAGCTGGCAAGATTATGGCCACGGTTTTCTGGGATTCGTATGGAATCATCTACATCGACTACTTGGAAAAGGGCCAGACGATCACTGGACAATATTATGTGTCATTATTAGGTCAGTTAAAAGAAAAAATCAGAGAAAAACGTCCTCACTTAAACAAAAAAAATACCTCTTTCTTCAAGACAATGCTCGAGTTCACACGTGTGCAGTTTCGATGGCAAAAATTAACGATTTAAAGTTCGAATTTATTGGCCATCCACCATATTCGCCTGATTTGGCTCCCAGTGATTTTTTCTTATTTCCTAAACTCAAAAAATGGCTTGCCGGACAACGATTCACGTCGAATGAAGAAGTCATTGCCGAAATAAATGCCTATTTTGAGGGTTTTCAGAAATCATATTTTTCTGATGGCTTAGAAAAACTGGAAGGCCGTTTAATAAAATGTATCGATCTTCAAAGAAATTATGTTGAAAAATAAAAAAAAATTACATACGCAAAACTTTTTTTTTCTTCTTTTTGTAAAGACTTATTGACCCCCCCCCCCTCTCGTACCTATGCGCTCTTCTCTTATTTTCACTGGATAACTGAAACCCGCTGAACTAGTCAATCTACTTACATCAATTAGTATATTAAACGGCGCTACCTCATATATTATATGATTGTCTTAGTACCAGAGTCAAATTTCATGACCATATAAGGAGCGTGACGTCACCTACTTATAGATATAGATATAATAATTTTTTTATTTGATTAAAATACGTTAATTAAGAGTAAGTTCGATGAAACAAAGCATTTTTTATATAGATTTTAGGGCATAGATTATAATAATTTTAATTGCTTTTAACTGCTTAATTATATTTAATTTTAATGTGCAAAGTTAATTTGTTTATTACATTATAATTATTAATCATTGTAATAAAGCGGCTACTCTAAATTCGAGATGATTATCTAAGAAACATAAGGAATAATTTGTTTCATTGGTAACAGCTCAGTTATTACTGTTATCAATAAATAAACAATTAATAATTTATTTAAACATATAATTGTATTGAAAGCGTTAATTCTGTATATAACAACGACAATTTTATAATTTATTAATCTTAATTAACTGATTTATTATTTGCATTATAAGATTTTACAAAAAACCGTTACAAATATGAAAATTGAATATAATTCAAATGTTATTAACTAATTTAAGTAATGCTTTTTAAGAATTATTTCTACTAGTGATAAACTATTGATATATGTAAAATTTTATCATTATTTTATTGTAAATATTGCGCTACTACATTAACTAACTTTATTAGTTAACAACTTTTGACTATAATTTTTATGATAATTGTAAATTATATTTAAATGATCTATATCTACTTCTGTAAATCATACGTATTTTAATATTTCATTATTAATGTTTATTCTCTTGTAAATTAGAAAAAATGATTTCGCACAATTGCGTAAAAACTAGAAGAGGGCTGTCTTGCGAAAACAGGCGGGAAAATCTGTGTATAAATACGCTGATTTTTGCACCGGCTAGCAATCACTCTTAGCCTTGCAAAGTGAGCGCTCGAAAACAAATAAACTTGTCTTTTACCTAAGTTCTTTCTCTCAAGTGATTAACTGAGAAATTCCTTTCTTTCCTATTGTAATTGATGCTTGACTCATAGAACATTTCGCGCTATGAGAAACTTGGGTTGAATTGCATCCTTTTATAAGAAAGACTTAAGCTCTGCTTATGGGACTATTCGCACCATAAGAAACTAGGGTAAACTCTATCTTTCCTTAAAGTCCAATTCATGTAATCTTAGATATTCATTTATAATTTTATTTTAAAATTAATATTCATAAACATTTTTCAAAGTTGAAACAAATTCTTACTCATTAACGTGACAGACCACGAGAGTACGAACAATATTATAAATAAAAGGTGATATTAACATCACAAAATTGAAATATAGCCCTTCATTTATTTTGTGAATGCTAATTTTCGTTTTCAATTTTTCTGATAAATAATGTTGATCTTATAACTTTTTTGTCATAATTTCGTGTTTAATTGTGTATGCAAATAATATTTTTAATTTTTATATCAATTTTGTTTGTTTTTATTTCCAAATTTTGAATAAAAATTTTGTAACTATTTGGTCTTATTTATTTTACTTTTCTTTTGTCTATATCAGGGGTTCTCAAACTTTTAAAAATTTGTAACAAAAATATATGTACCTCCATAAAAACATTCACTATAAAAATCAATACCATTATGTAAAAATTGTACTATTAAAAAAATTCTAATGTACCACACTTTGAGAAGCCCTGGCTATATACAGTGTGTAATCTGTCTCTTATAAATAAATGACGCCTAAATCTCTTTATGCTATGTAGTTTTTTTTTGTTTTATGGCCGTCAGCAGTTCATGCGATGTCATGTTCCAAAGTAACTACGTAATTATATTTATCTTATCAAGGTAAAGAAGGTCTTATTTTTACTTTACGCATGGTCGTGTAAAGAAGGTGACTATTCTAAGCGCCTACATCATCAGGAGTGCTAAATCTGAAATTGAGGGATAGCAGTATCATGATAATTGACAACCAGTCATTTTAACTGGTATTGGTAAAAATAGGTATAGTTCAAAGGCTGGTAAATCTAGTTTATACTCAATTTTAATTTGACATTTTTATATTTCGAAATAATTTTACTGTCTTTTACATCTATTGAAACGAGCTAATTGAAGTATCTATTATACTCTGTATTGCTGCTTCATTTTACTATTTATTAACAGTGTTCTACGATACATTTCAAAAAGGATCTCTTTGATAATATTATTTTTTTTGGTTTTGTATTATGCAGGTTACTTAAACAATAACAGTTTTATATAATTTCATATATTTAAAAATTTTTATCATATAACTTTTAAATCACTATAAATTTTCAAATAATATTCTTTCAACTAGAAGAATTCGATCTCAATTGTCTATTGGTAACATTCAAATAATTATTTAAATTATTTTGGTATGATAAAGAACTCGAATTTTATTATCTGAGACGCTCCCTGATCAAAAACTTAAAAAGCTTTGTATGAAGATTATTTGTATTTAATTAAAAAAAAATTTTTTCTCAAGTTTTGTAAAAGATAAACTCACTAAATTTAATAACTTTTCAATATTCCGTGCGCAAAGTGCGTCTTTTCCGCATGCTCGGCAGAAAACGTGCGTTGAAAATCGTACTTTCCACACGTCATATAAAAAAATACGGTACGGTACATGTTCGGGAAAAAGTTTTTCGTCTCTTGTGTCTTTTTACCCTTGCTTCGTTCGGGCGTAAACGCCACATATGACAATAATCGACTTTCCCGCACTTGTATCATAATATACTATTATTTGTTAGAACTTGAAAAGCGGAATAAAATATTCACTTCTTTTTGTGTTATATGATTACAGATGTCAAATTATCTGGTAGTAGTAAAAGAAGTAGCGTGCAAAGTAGAGGCAGTTCTAGCAGTGTAATCGAACAACGTAGTATTACACCACGGTCACAAGCTGCTACTCCAAGGTATGTTATGGATTTAACCTGCATTATATGTGAAGTCTACTAAGTTTCTACAACACACTCCTCGGCCATTAATGAGTCATGTGTATTTTCTTTAAAAGAGTCCTCTTATTCTTTTTCTTTACAATGGAATCATAAAGTATGTGAATAAATAGATTCTATTTGAAGATTGAAATTTACGCTATTAGAACTATGAATATAATGTAATAATCTATTTATAGTACAATATTATTTAATGCACGGTACAATGAAAAATATATTTTTCGTATAACCTAATTGTAAGATACGAGGGGGGGTCAATAAGTCTTTACAAAAAGAAGAAAAAAAAAGTTTTGCGTATGTAATTTTTTTTTATTTTTCAACATAATTTCTTTGAAGATCGATACATTTTATTAAACGGCCTTCCAGTTTTTCTAAGCCATCAGAAAAATATGATTTCTGAAAACCCTCAAAATAGGCATTTATTTCGGCGATGACTTCTTCATTCGACGTGAATCGTTGTCCGGCAAGCCATTTTTTGAGTTTAGGAAATAAGAAAAAATCACTGGGAGCCAAATCAGGCGAATATGGTGGATGGCCAATAAATTCGAACTTTAAATCGTTAATTTTTGCCATCGAAACTGCACACGTGTGAACTCGAGCATTGTCTTGAAGAAAGAGGTATTTTTTTTGTTTAAGTGAGGACGTTTTTCTCTGATTTTTTCTTTAAGCTAATCTAATAATGACGCATAATATTGTCCAGTGGACATCTGGCCCTTTTCCAAGTAGTCGATGTAGATGATTCCATACGCATCCCAGAAAACCGTGGCCATAATCTTGCCAGCTAACTTTACTGTCTTTGCCATCTTTGGGGCTGGTTCTCCTGCGGTAATCCATTGTTTGGACTGTTCTTTGGTTTTAGGAGTGTAGTGGTGTACCGATGTTTCGTCTACAGTTACGAGTCGATGCCGAAAGTCTTCTGGATTACGACGTATGTTTGCCAAAAGAGCCTCAGAGGTGACCACGCGGGTTCGTTTATTTTCAAAAGTTAGCAATTTGGCACTCATCTTGCTGATATTTTTTTCATCCCTAATTTTTCATGTAAAATTGAAATGATTGTACCCTTTAATACTTCTGTGGCCTCAACTAATTCTCGCAATTTTAATCTTTTATCACTCAACACCATATGGTGGATTTTGTTGACCATTTCGGGCGTCCTCACTTCTACGGGGCGTCCTGAACGAGGTTCATCTTTTGTTGTTGTATGGCCACATTTAAATTCATTTACTCATTTATAGACAGTCTTAAACACAGGGGCAGACTTGCCATGAACGGCATTCAATGCAACTGTGATTTCTTTTGGTATAAGGCCTTTCAAATGGAAATGTTTTATCACCGCTCGAAACTCTGTTTTTTCCATTTTTCAAATAAACCAATAACTTTTTGTTCAACCAACGCTCACAAAAAAACGACTAAATGAATCGAGCTGAAATATTGTACGATATCTAGTTAGTAGTATTGCTTGTCAAAAACATCATAATTTAAGCGTGACGAGCGCCATCTCTTGGATTTTGTAAAGACTCCACCTCGTACATACGATATCAAAGAAGTTTTATCTAATTTTATGAATAATAATCTTGATAACTGGTACATAACTCAATCAATTTTATAATAACCTTAGATTGTTATTTCTCGAATACTAGGGAAAATATATCAGGGGTATTATTTTAAATGACTAAAAATCTAGCAGGTTAAGATGATCAAAAATGCCAGTCATCCAGAAAACTAATTATATCCCCTGTGACGGTAAACGTCAAATTAGCGCAAATATTCTAACCTAATTGCTGCCTGCGGGGGGCAGCACTTCCCGGGAGACAAAAATTGTAACGACGGAATTCGGCACGCGAGCAGACGGAACGCGCGCGATCGAAAATGAACCAGTGAGGGACTAACCATCGTCATGTTCGCCCGTGTTGACGACGCCAACTACCGATACGCGAGCCACCAAAACCAAAATCTACGAGAAAAGTGTCCGAACCAGAGCCGAATACCAGCGACCGCTGTTACCGAGTTGTCCGGAGTGCTGACCTGAGCCAGTAGGAGCGGTGCCATTACCTGTGAAGTCGAATGTCGACGTGCGAGGTGTTTCGACATCGAGGGCGAAACCACGCGTATGCGCGTTCGCTACCCGCGAGCAACGATAAACAGACTTTTCCCGCAGTGAGCGTGCGAATCATACTTCTCGCCTCCGTACGTCTGCTAAATAAAGGTAAGCTGTCCAGCTTAATTTCGCGATCGCGATTCAATTGTTACTCAACTAATCACTCGAAGCGAAACGTGCATGTAATAGCTCTACGGACAAAGAGCAGCGAGCGTCCCGACACTGCATGTTGTTGTCGAGCGAGCGGCAATGTAAACATAAACACGCGGGCCGACTCTAATGTAGCATTTAAAAGATAATAAAGAGTTTTGGTATATGATATTCACAGTAATTTCGGAGTGTTCTCTTTGTATTCGTAGTTAGTTGGTTGACTAACTCCCGTTCCCTCTTGCTCTTCGACTTTCTTATTTGATATAGGTGATTACGAGTGTATTTACGCGATCGTCTCAATAAAAATAATTAAACGGTAAGCAACCCCGTTACATGGCGTCCAACGTAAAAGAACCTACGGTGTTTCTGATTGTTCAAAACACCGGTTCTTAATAGTGACCTTGCGCTCAGTCAACCAGCGACTTAGGTGGCAATCAAGTGTTGTTGTACACTTGATATTGAGAGCTAAAACAGTATACATAGCCTGTTAGTTAGCTTGCGAAGGCCCGCCGCGGAGTAAAATTGTAAATAATAACTGTAAGCGCGTGCGAGTGCGACCGAATGACTCTTAGAAGCGTAAACACCAATAAATTTTGAAAGTTGCCGCAAATCAATAATATTGTACCCGCTGGCCCGGGGAAAACTAACACCGGCAACTTACAAACAAAATTAACTCAAATTGAGAATTTTATTTGATCCCGTGTTGTCTCAAATAAATGTTTTTAATATTATTAGCTGCGACTATTGGTGATTACGCGCGACGCTCGTTATAATATTAGATACTAACTCACACAGCCGCGCGAACAAACAGTTAGTGCGCCTGATAGGTAGGATCATTATATTGCGAAATAACGAGCGAAGAGTCTTTCGGCAGATGAAGTATTAAACACCCTTGACAAGCCTAGTATCGGCTAATAAAATTTTCACTTGCGTACAATTTTTTTAAAACAGCACTCGCACTCGCACCACGCGTAACAAGCGTGTAAATTTCGCGTGAAACAAGCCGCAAGCAACTAACAGAAGAAAATGGACCGCACTCAAACAGAAATAGAAAACTGGGTGTTGACGCTCCAGGAGGAGGAAATCGATGAGTACCTCGAACACCTGAAGCTCAAAACAAGCGGGACCAAGCTCTCGAGAGCTGGCCGTCTGCAAAGCTGGTTGCTCGGAGACTACTCCGCGACGGATTTCGCGGAAGTCAACAACCGGCCCAGCAATCCGGCAAAAAGGGCAGCCTTACGCTCGGACTTAATAATATCCTTATGCGCGGAACATACAGCATCCGAGCAAGAGGGGGAACACCCGCTAGCTCAGTTGATGCCGAGTGCGGAGGTAATATCGCGAGTGCGGAAAACCGCGATAAACATCGCGAATGTCCTGGACAGCGGCGAGAAAACAAACAGTAATAATTGTATTACTATAACGGCTGATGATGGCAGCCAGTTCCAGCTCCCGCCGGCATTCGCGGTGATAGTACAAGACCTCATTTTCCGGTCCAGAGAAAATGAGAAGAAATTGGAGCTGCTAGACTCACTGAGAGTAAATGTATCGAGTCTAACAAAAGTGTTAGACCAGATTTACAGTAACTGCAGTCAACGTAAAGGACCAACAGAAATATACGGCAAGACAATGCAAATAGTTCCAGCGAAGCGCGGCATCAGGAAAACACGCGTAGGAACGTAGCATTCCAGGACACCTTCACGTACCACTACGACACCAGGCTACCCCAGAGCACTCCAGCTGGATCCGGATAGAGGCCCACGGGGTCCACCGGCAGCACCCCCCGCCGGACGCTCCCTTTCGGAGAGGGTGGACAGCATCAACTCAGTGGAGTTAATGCTGAAGTGGACAATCACCCGCCGAGCACGTGGTCATCCCAACAGACATCAAACCCGTAGTCGACAACAAGGGACGTTGGTCGCATTGTCCGAGCATGGAAACTCAGGTTCTCCGGAGAGGGCAATGAGAGCATCGACACCTTCCTGTTAAGACTGGACAACTCGAGGAGTAGCGCAGGACTCACGGAAGACGAGATGCTCCTAGCCGTATCCGAGCTACTCGTCGGTCCTGCCCTCGTCTGGTACGAGGCGATGAGGGAAGAATGGCTCTCCTACGCAGATTTCGAGGCAGACGCAAGAAAGTGGTTTGGGACCAGGCGAGCAGCAACAGCAGCGTTTAACGAAAGAGGTTCAGAGCCAATATCAAGGCCCAGACGAGCCAGTGAACGTCTATCTCGCCAATATGATGGGCCTGATGAATCGGCTGAATCCCAAGATGACGCACGATAGTCAACTGGACCTGCTGCATGCCAACCTTCTCCCAGGTATTCAGGGTCAAATACGGAGGTCCGAAGTAGACTCCATACAGACCCTGAACGCCCTGGCCACGGCGGCCTAGAATAACTGGCATCAGCGAAGGCCAGAACGGATGGTACCAGACCCTCAGTCAACTCTATACCCGGAGTTAGTCTACCACCCTTGCGCCGATGCGAACAAGGGCCGTAAGGGCAAGGTGGCGGCCATGTCCGGCGACGAGCCGGAGGTAAACGACAGATAGGACCGCATGGAGAAGGTACTCGAGAAGGTGACGCACCAGGTCGTCTACACGCCGACGCCCTCGGGGGCGACACCTAATCCGAGCCTGGAGGCGGTCGACGGCGAGGAGAAGGCCCCATCCACCGATATAATGAGCCAAGTGTGCTGCTGTCTCTCAG